AAAAAAAAAAAAAACCGTCAACAGCAGGGTTCGAACCTGCGCGGGCGAAACCCAACAGATTTTAATTCTGTCTCCTTAACCACTCAGATATATCAACAGTTGAAATACATTTCAATAGATGTATTTACATATTACCTTTTGTGGTTTCTCTAGGGTTTAAACATCCCATCTCCTTCATTTGTGCCTAGAACTAGTATCGACATTTTTCCACCGAAAATCGAATAGAACTGATAAACATTAAAAAATATATATTAATAATTTAATTTACTATATACTATACACTATATAGCCAGTTAAATAAAATAATAAATTAGGATTAATTAAATAGTTAAATACATAACTTAATCTTATCTATATATATATAATTACTAGCTAATAACATTTAAGAAAACCTATTTAATAAAACCTCCAAAATTTTCCCTCCATTTTCGGTTACAAAATTTATCATTAATGTTTTTTACTTCTCACATTAATACATCCTATTGAGTGTAATCATGTATTTTTCATTATATTATATAATAGTTAATGCTAATACCAACATATAATTATTCACAATAAATATAAATTGTATAATTATAAACAATTATTTCAAGTTATTTATTTTAACATCAGTATTATCTTTTTCTTTTGTATCTCATGAAAAAATTCTTCAAAAACAATTAGTGTTTTAATAGCATAGTCAAACAACTTTAGAATCTTATAAATAATTATTTTTTTAATAATAATAATAATAATAATGATAATAATAATAATAATAATAATAATAATAATAATAATCAAACTGCTATTATCTAATGATAATAAATAATTGTTCATAATAATGAACAATCATTAATTTATTTTTCTTAATGATTAAATTTTAAAAATGTAATATGTTCATTATCTAAAATTTTAATATTAAATTTTCAAATATTACTTATAATATTTTATGTATATATGTGCATGTGCACAGGATATTTACTAGTGGGTTCTAACTTGTTTAGTTAAAAGAAATTTGGAAATCAAATCAGTTAACGTTAAAATTTCCCAAACCCTTCGCATGTCGCCTCCTTTGGTCCTTCCTTCACCTTCTCCTTCGCAGAATCTGAGTGACGATTCACAAATTTCACCTCTCAGTTCTCAACGCGATTGATCACTGATTCATCACGCGCTCGATTGTTCATTCACAAAGCCGAAAGGGTAGGTAGGGCCGCGGGGCTGGTACTCGCAATTTGTCAACTGGAGCCACGATTGCTCGTCCGCTTCTGTCACTCGTCGGAGCCGCGATTGCCCGTCCGCTTCTATCACTCGTCGTCGTTGGAGTTGCTTCTGTCAGTCGTTGGAGTTCGATTTAGGGTTGGTATTTATGCTGCACACTTTTTTCTCATTCTTGTAAAATTAGGGATGGTATTTATGCTTATGACTGCAGTAAAACTGGGGCTGGTATACCGTATTTATGCCTGCAATTTGTTAATTTTTATGAAGTTGTGGTGTAAGGTGTGACTAGTGTTAGAACTTGAATGTTGGCTGACAAACCATTGCTCCACAAGAGATGAAATGAGATGTGTAGAGACCTAGAGCATGTATGCCAGATTTACAATAACAGTTATTAGACCAGGACTATATTTTCTTATGACATTGAGGTGGGACTACACTACTGATCTGCTCCTTATGGCATTGTATGGGCTGTGC